GGCGGATTTTTTTGTCAAGATTTTCACAACAAAGCATGAGAAAGACGTACAACTTATTTGGCCACTGAAATACGATACTGTCTCCAGAAACTGATATTCTTTAAAGTCTTTAAACTGTTGTTGTCACTAAATCGGTCGTCCACCTGTTTTAAAGATGGCTGTGTTTAGCTCCCGCTTCGTAGAAGCCATAATTGCACAAAACACTGCTATGTTAAAGCGTTGTCGGTCAAGAACTTCAGACACGGCTATTTGTGCTTTTAGGAAAGTTTCCCGACCTCTTTCTGGGCTCATCCACCAGGATGCTTGCCATTTTCTCGCATTTTCCTTCATAACAGCTTGAGATTTTTGTTTGATTTTCCCTCTGGCCCTTCAGTGGTAGCACTACAACATGAATCTTTGATTCTCTAAACCGCTGATGTATCACAGGATCATAACTGCTGTTTAGATGGGTTATCTCTCCTTCATCACAACATGTCCTCGCCGAATTCATGAAAAAAAAAAACCAAAAAAAAACACATAAACACAAAAACAAACACGCAACGATGTTCTTCACACAACAACACTGGTCTAACTATGCGATGTCGATGTAAACCATGACTATATTTTTCTCAGAAACCGCGCAATTTTCCGTACTTGTGTGATTCAGTCCGCAAATTTAGATACATTGTAACGAAAGTCTTCCTTGCGTGATCTATATGAAAATAACTTTCCATGTGTGGAATTTAAGACAATCAAAAAACTATTTGCATCGCTTCGCTTGTTTTAATTTTTTGTGGTAAAACGTCGATCCGGAATAGTTTTGTCCAGCGTACTAAGAAGCGGAACCCTGGAAATAGGAAAAGACTGTCGGAACATGTTCCAAAAATTATAATATAAGCCGAGAAATTTCGGAGATTTGATTGGTTGATAGTGTCACTATATTTTGCGTAATAGTGGTATAACAGCAAAAATGGTAGCCTGCGAACAGGCTTCCGGCGATGACGGAAAAAAACAATCAGCAAGCGCGAAACAGAAGAATTCGGAGAGCAAAGCGATCGGGGCGGGGACAGGGGAGCCTGTAGACTTTGTTTTTGATGTGCCTATCCGCCCTTGGTGATTAGCCTGTAACAAATCAGTCGATGAAGTAATTAGACCTGTCAAGAAGCTACATCTTCTCCACATGTAAACAGTTCTAATCGAACTAATCAAACAGCCAGGCCCGGCGTCATAATATAGAGTGCAAGTAAGCAACATGTTCACGAAATATTTCAAACTTAACTTTGGCCCTCCAGAACCAATACTTAGTGAGCTTAAAACATATTTTCCAATACTGAAATGAGCCTAAAGAAATTATAAGCACATAAAATAGAGGTGTCAAACTCTGCGAAGCGACAAGTAGATAGCAGCGGAAAGTCCGGAAACCATGCCTCTGATGACCTCTAAAAAAAATTGCTATAGCACCCCCAAAACGGCTCCACTCCACTAGCTTGTACTTAAAATTCCTCCTCCTAACAGAACATGAAGTACCCTTCAGAGTCACTTGTAAAATAACGAGAAGTCGAGAGACCGAAACTTAAAGAGAACGGCAAACACACTATTGTCACGAGCCGTAAGAGACATATAATTTTACAAAGATCTGTCAAATATTCATCTCAAAGATGTCAACAATCAGCGATTTAACCAATCATATCATGATACCGGGAGCTGGTATCATAGAACGGCGGCATCAATAGAATGTCTACAGGCTCCCTCGCTTCGTTAGGGCTCACCGGGAGCCTGTTCGCAGGCTACAAAAATGGATGGTGTAACAAAGTTACCATGGCTGTTAAAATTTATGGGATTTCTTGAAAGGTAGACCAAAATTTCCAATCGGAATTTCCGAATAGAAATGAGCGTTCCATTTGCTAGTTTTAACTTGTTATAGTTCCAGGCTCGCTCTATAATTTCCTTTCTTCCGGGAAAATCAGCAAATGCCAGAAATCGACCGGAAATCGGCAAATGCGGTAAGACACAACTCGGTGTTCTCAGTCGAAAGATTGATACCGTTGCAGCCTTTTTACACAAGTCAGAAGATCAAAGGACAATTCAAACCAAAGGAACATAAACCTCCAATTGTGAATCAATAAAACGTTGTTTATTATTACAAGTGTGGTCTGTGTGATGCAGACCATGTAGGCTTCTCGAGTCGACACCTACATCAACGTGTGGAGGAACATAAGCGATCATCAATCGGCAACCACGTAAAGGATCCAGAGACCATTGGAAGCAATTTCGAGATTTTGAAAACATGTCAGAGTAAACTCGACTGTTTGATTTTTAAAATGCTTTTTATTCGTAAACTTAAACCAAAACTGAACAAACAGAGTGACTCGATCCGCGCGAAGCTATTTACTTAATTATTTCAC